AGATGGCTTCTAAAAACCAAGTAAGTGGTCAAAGCAATCCCTCAAAAGGTAAGGAGTATAAAGCGCTATCTGCATAGCATTTACATTATATTACATATTATAAGTGATCCAGAGATGTTTTAAAGTATATGGGAGGATGTGCTAAGGTTATATGCAAATACTAAGCCATTTTATATAAGAGACTTGAGCATATGCAGAATCAGCGGGGATCCTGGAACCAATCCTCCGAAGACACTGAGGAATGACTATAGATAGAAATCTTTTTATAAAGAAAGAATTCAAGCAGGAACAATCTAGAATGATTTTTCATCTTTCAATCTGAACTAAAATAAAGTACCAATTAAAGAAGGTAAGAAACATCTTTACTTTTCATGCTCCCACTGAAAACTTACCATTGGTGGAATAATAGCAGCTCGATGTTGAAGCTGCTGCAGGTCTAATGGATTTGGTTTAATTGGGGATGAAACCAGTATAGATCCAGTGGGGTTTAACAATGAAGGCTTTGGGTCCAGAGGAAACATTCTGCAATTGGCAATAAAAAAGATAAATCAATATATTCTTATGTAAGACTTTAAACATAAAATAATTTTCATTTCCTTTAAGTTATACACATGCAAGTATACACACATACATGTTACAATAACCTTCACAAAATATATGAATAATAAGAAAATGGGAGTCTATAATGCTATGTCACAGATGAAGAAAAATAGAACCATTATCTTATATATAACCTAATATTAATTTATAGGCTGAAATTTATCTGAATTTAATCATCTAAACAAAAACCATTATAAAATGTTAGGTCCTAATTTACCCCTGGGAATTCTGGTGGCATAGTGCCTAAGGCATCTAACAGCTAACCAGAAGGCTGGCGGTTCAAACCCACCAGCCACTCCTCAGAAGGAAGGTTGGGTGATCTACCTCCATAGTGATACTGCCTGGGAAACCTAAGGAGGGGTTGCTATGAGTCGGATCCGACTCGACGGCAGTGAGTTGTTTTGTTTTTAATTTACCCATAACATACTAACACAAGTTACGAACTAGTTATCTGTTATAAGATAGTTACAGGATCATAACAGTATTTTTTTAAACATATGAATAAGCCACAACCATTTCAAAACTGGGAATTTCAAACTTCCAGACCTCTGGTTTCTCAGGAAAAATGGAAAGCACTGGCAACACAGAACCAGTATTCCCACACAGCAAAAACGTGATGAACTTGTAGAAGCTGTCCCTTTAAAACAGGGCATGTGTTCTTCAGCTCACCACAGCTCCTACCATCTTATACTCCACCTTATCACTTGTCGTCAGTACCTATGCTTGAGTCTGTTGTTGTTGTTAAGTGCCGTCGAGTCGTTTCCGACTCATAGCGACCCCATGCACAGCAGAACGAAACACTGCCCGATCCCGC